CTGAGTGCCACTGGCTATGTAGAGCAGTTCCCCAAGGCCAGAGCATGCTAACCAGGAACCTTTTTCTTGAGTCATATGTAAAGCAGTAGTGGTGGTGAGGCTAGCTCTTCTGGGGCAGCTTTGGTCTTTGTACCATCAAGTCTGCCCTGGGTGAGAAGTTGGGCAGGAATGAACTTGGCAGAGATTCCACAGTCTGGGGACCTAGTGGACCTAGGACAAGCCTCACAAGTTCTATGAAATGGTGGCATTCTTCCTGCTGCCCCTGCCGGATTGTTACACAAATCCAGTGAGATGCAGTGTTTGTAAGGCATGAACTCAGTTGTGCATGAACTTCTTCCGCGCTTGAGCCTAGTGCTTTTCAGAAAAGGAGGGTGGCCCTGGGCAGGCGGATTGGACAGGGCAGGGGAGGCTTTTGCTGGCCTGCTTTTCAGCTTGTGGAATCCTCTTGTCCCCCACCTTCCAGAAGTTGTCACCTGAAGAGGACAGAAAGTCCCTTCCTCCTCCAGAGGCAGTGGGTTTGACAGGGGAAGAGGAGAACTCCATTTCTGTGGCTCATAGAAAACCAGCCTGAGGACAGGGATGGCACAGAGGGAAGGAGGGGCAGGGCAAGGCAGGCAGGAAGGCAGTGTGGTGTGAAAGCACAGGCTCAGCTGGAGCACAGGGGCGTGGTCTATGTGACTCCATGACCCTCCTCCCAGAGCACAGCCCAGCAAGTTCCCAACTGGATCACAAAGGCATGAGCCCCAGAACATCTACATCGTCCCAGCGCTGTACTGGTATGCCTGGTACTCGGAAGTTGAAGGTAACCTCTGTCTCCACCATGGGAGGATAGAGAGTCAACCGTGAGGGCTGCCAACCATGGAGCAGGAGGCATTGGTAAGGAGCAGAGAATGAGTTGTACATGCAGCCACAAGGAAAGTGAAACATACCACGGAGTGAAAGAAGTCCCACATGATGAAACTCACGGCACAATGCCATTTTTGTAAATTAAAAACACATTCGCACACAAAACAAGAGTGCATATTGTATAGAGCTGTGTGCATTTTTAGGGGTACATAGCCCATCATTAGAGTGGGTCCCTGTTGTAGTGGGGGAGGTGTTAGATGTGGGTTTAAAAAGAATGGATAAAGAAAGGAAAATAAACCCACAGAGGGGTCCTATTCAGAGATGGTGATTGTGCTGTATGGACCAAAGGATTGGGGCTCGCTCAGTTATGGATTTCAGGCTTGGGAAAGCAGCAGCCATAGGCTCAGATCTTAGGCTCTTTCATGATGTGCCACCCCTGAGGCTGGGCACAAGTGACTAGTCCCCTGAAAGCCTCTGGTCATCTGTACAGTGGTGGGAAGACTTGCCTGACGGAGACCATTAGGACAGAGCACAGGGAGAGGACCGTGTTCAAGCCTCAGGGAGAATAATACCACCAGCTGCCCTGTTGTCTACAGCATTTCCTAGTATGGCACCTGAGTCAGCTGAGGGTGTCAGGCCCCCTGGGAAGCCACAGGTTCTTTGAAAGGTCAGAGATAAAGAAGGAAACTGGTGTCTAAGGCTGTGTCTCCTAGCAGAGGGCAGGTGAGTGCCTGAGTGCCAGGTTGCCACTCTCTGCTGGCCTGTCAGGATCAGAGCAGCTCACAGTGGCCAAATGACCTCAAGCCGTCTCCATCAGCTCCGTCCAGAAACTATGAGTGCTTTTTGAACTTCATGTTTGTTTTCTCATGCTTAGATGGTCTGCTGAGGGATTCTATAATATTTAAATGACAGTCTTCTTTGGCTCACTCAGAGCTAAACACCTGAGCCAGCTACCTGTGCTGGAATGCACTGCAGCCCCAAGACCCCTCCTAGTGTCCCAGCAAGCAGCAGGCCTGACTCGCTTCTCCTCTTTCCCTACAGATGACGATGAGCATGAGTGGATCGTCAGGACCTGCCGAAAAGGCTGGATGGAGAAACAACCTGAGAAACCACCTCAGAACCCCAAACTGTGACCCACTCACTGTCTCAGGCACAGCCAGAGCTTTGCCTCTGCCCTGCTGGCCCTGGCTGGTCTGGGGAATAGGCTGTGATCCTAGAGCTTCAATTTGACTTTCAAAATAAAGGGTTTTTGTTTTTGTTTTTGCATTCAGTGGCCCCAAGCATGAGTGCTTTAGAAGCCTTACTCAGAAAGCACCCTCATTTCAGCAGCAACCAGGTAGAATCACTGTTGCTGGTCCCAGGCCCCAGCCTAGACTTGCTAATCACAATATCTGGGAATGGGGCCTAGAAATGGCAGTCCCAGTTAGTTCTCATGTGTATGAAAGTTTGAGAACTCTTGTCCTATAGCAGATCTTCCTAATTGAATGGGCAACTAAAGGGGTACAGGAAGTATATATTTTCTCTGCCCCTCCTAGCAGCCTGATGGGTGAGGGGAGAGGGGACAGATGAGAATCTGTGGCTCAGAGATGAGTGTGACTCACTTGGTGACTAATCAGTCTCAGTAGTTCGCCACTGGTACCTTCTCCTAGGACTGCCCTTCCCTCTGGGCAGCTATACCATCTAAGCCTCGTAAGGTAAGTACTGGATCAGCAAGGTACACAGAAAGAACATGACTTTGGCATCTATGCTGGGTTCAAATCCCAACTCTACCACAGGCCTCCACCAGGCAACTTTGGCCAAGTCACTTCTCTAAGCCTCAATTTTCACATCTATAAAATGGTTACAGTGAGGTTTGAAACAACAGAGCAGCTGAGTGGGTCAAACCAGACAGCACAGGTAAAGAGAGCAGAATGCAGCAGGCACTCAATTCATGTTTGCCTTAAAGATCAGTTTGTGCCACTGTAATCCTTAACACTTTGTACAATAAGGCAGGAGGATCACTTCAAGAGCCAGTCTAGACTATGTAATAAGGCCCTACTTCAAAAATAAAAAATAAATCTGTTAGCTGTGCATATACTCATTCCTCAAAATCAACCCCAGAGATCACATTTGTCAGCTAAACTCGAATAGAAAGTAGTAAAATGTCCAAAACTTACTCATGGGTCCCAAGTATCCAGTATCTTTGTATAACTTTCTGTCCTTGGAGCAGCTTCCCTGCTGTAGGCCCCTGGATATGTTCCCAGGTTCACCAGAGCTGCCCTATGGAGACCGGAGAGGGGTCGGGCTTGGGAGGGCTCTGCTGAGGATTTCAGGGGAAGAAAACCCAAACCAGGAATCCAGAGCTATCATGTGGGGAGAGCCAGCAGCCTGAAAATGGGCTAGCGTCCCTACCTGCACTGCAGAGCAGACTTAGAGCATCACCTCTCCCTTCTGAGGCTTTCACCAGCTAGTAAACTAAAATGCCACTAGTGGTTCTTAAACTGGTGTTTCAACAAGGCACCTTTATGTAAGGAAACGTGCAGGTGCACATACGTGCACGTGCACACAATTCAACTAAATGTATATTGTCTATCATATATAAAAATGAACATTTGAAATATGTAAGAGTAGAGGGGGAAGGGGCATAAATAAGAGTCAGGGATGGTGCCTGAAATAGTAGGGCTAGAGAGATAGCTCAAAAGTAAAAGTGCTTGCAATGCAAGCATAAGGACCTGAGTTCAGATCTCCAGCACCTAGGTAAAAGGTCAGGCACAGCAGTGTGTGTGCCTGTAATCGCAGTGCTGGAGAGATGGAGAGGAGGATCCCTGGGACTTGCTGGCTGCTAGTCTAGTCATGTTGATAAGCTCCAGGTTCAGTGAGAGACCCTGTCTCAAAGAATGTGGGGAGTGGGGCTGGAGAGATTTCTCAGTGGGTAAGAGCACTGGCTGCTCTTACAGAGGACCTGGGTTTGATTTCCAGCACCCGCATGGTGGCTAATAACCATCCAGTTCCAGGGGATCTGATGCCCGTTTTTGACCTCTGTGGGCATTGCATGAAATGGGTGCACTTACATGCAGGCAATATACTCATACACATAAAATATTTTTTAAATGTGGAAAGTGATTGAAGACGATAAGAACATATCAACCTCCGGCCTCCACATATCCGTGCACATAAACAACTTATAAAGAGAGTGACCAAGTGTGCCATGAGATATCCTGCAGGGTTTACAAGCAACTTCCCCAGGGCTACAGGAGGTGGGGAAGCCTCCACACCCTAGAGGCAGCTATATTCTCAATTCTGCACTCTAGGAGCTTTGGCTTGAACAAAAGATTTTATAGATAAGGGCTGGAGAGATGGCTCCTCCATTAAGAGCCCCACACTATTCTTGCAGCAGATCTGGGTTCTGTTCCTAGCATCACATCAGGTGACTCACAACCTCCTGTAACTCTGGGTCCAAGTGATCTGGTGCCTTCGTCTGGCCTCCCATA